TGTTGTTTATACGATGCTTTAAATATGTAAAAGTGTTCTTAGCTCACAGGTTGTAGGTTGTCTATTCCTGGACTATGGTGAAATGATCCACTTCAGTAGTTTTAATGTTGATACACTATTCTTATCTAGTATTATCTAATTTACCACACATCTTCCAATTTTTCAAATCAGCCTAGTAATTTCCTTTATGCATTTTCTGTCTCTTTTGGAATCTAGTTTAGGACCCGCCATTGCACTTGGTTGATACTGTTCTATCATATGATTTAATCTGGGCCATTTCCTCAACCTTTCACTGTCTCTTATAGTATTGATATGTTTAGAAAATACAATTCCTTTTTTAAAAATAGACCATTCCTAATTTGGGGTTGTCTAGTGATAGGATTCAGTGCCCTAACCTGCATCCCATATAAATGATGTCAAAGGCTTTTTAGGGTATCATATCTGGAGACACACAGGGTCCGTTTGCCCCTCACTGATGACTTCCAAGCAATAGCAAATGGAAAAACAAAAACAAAACAAAACAAAACAAAAGTCAAACAAACAGAGAATAGAGAAATTCTAAGAGAACACTGCTTTAGAGACAGATGATCTTCAGAATTATTAAGTATGTTTTTTTTTCATCCAATGCTGTTCAAAGCTTTAACTTAAAGCTTGTGTCTCTGTTTCCATCTCTACTAGACATATGAGAAGGCAACTAAATGTTTTGAGAAAAACCAGTTTATTCAGGGAACGGTATAGTGAGAAGTGGAACTCCCAGGTGCCTTTTGTTGATTTTTTGAAGTACATACATTCTTAGCTTGTGTATACATCTTAATTTTTGTACATTAACTGGCCAAGGTCTTATCTGTCAGCCTCTGCTCTAGTAGTTCAGCCCCACATTCAGGTCACGCTGAAAGTCCTGCTGCTCTGTGCATGCTCCAGATTAGTTTTCTGCTTGAAATAATCTTTTCTTCTTTCCTGATTAGAATTATCTTAATCCTTCAGCATCTACTGCAAATGCCCTCCATTTTATGCAGTTCCCAAGGAGAAACAGACTCTTCATTTTTCCATAATATTTTCTACTGTCCCTTAGTGGCACTGACGACAATGACAAGGGTAATAATAGTAATAATGTAGCAACTACAAATAATTCAGTAGTTTCCAATGCCAGGCATTGTGCTAAGCACTTATATGCCTTTTGCAACCATGGTATTATTTGTGTATCACAATTATCCTCAGTTTTGGAATAGGAAAATTGAGATCCAGAACGTAAAGTAGTGTGTCTAGGACTACGGTCTCACAGTCTAATAAGCTGGAGGATAAGGATACAAATGCATGGGTCAAAGCCTGTACTCTGTTTCAAAATATTGGAGCAATGGTTTTACTTTTATATATATTGTATGATTATAATAATATTGTTAGCTTAAATTTACTTACAGGAAAACATACAGATATTAAGTGTACAATTCCATGAATTTACATAAGAACGTAACCATTGCCCCATCAAAATATCGCCCCAGACAGTTCTTTTATGCCTCTTCTCACCAATTCCCTCCCTCCAAACCAGAGACAAGCATTGATAAGATTTCTATCATCATAGATTAGTTTTTTCTATTTTTGAATTGACTGTAAATGAACTCACACAGTATGTATACACATTTGTGTCTGGTTCATTTCACTCAAACTAATTAAAATAATTTTTCTTGAGAGTCAGCCATGTTATGTGTAGCAGTAGCCTGTTGCTTTTTTTAAATTGTAGAGTAGTGTTCTATTGTATAAATAAGTAACAGTTTTTTTCTACTCTTCTGTTGGTAGACAGTTGGATTGTTTCCAGATTTTGGCTATTATGAATAAAGATGCTATGAACATTCTTGTACAAGCCTTTTAGTGGACACACACTTTCATTCCTTTTGGGTAAATATCTAGGTATAGAATTTCTGGGTCATATACAGGGGCATGTTTTGCTTTGCAAAACTTTGCCAAATAACTTTCCAAAGAAGTTGTACCATTTTACACTCCATAGGCAATGGCTGCATGTTCTAGTTGCTCCACATCCTTGCTAACATTTGGCATTGTCACCTTTTTAATTTTAGCTATTTTAGTGGGTGTGAGAAAGTGCTGTAGCCAAAGTCCATACTCTTAACCACTGCTTGATGTCATCACGGCCCATTTCACTTTATACAGTAACTTGCATACACATCTGCCTTTCCTACTAGATTCCAAGCCCTCAGGTAGCTAAGATATTCCTTATCATTTTTATAGTCCTTCTGAATCAGAAGCTCAATAAATGCTTAATAAATTTTGGCTCGGAACACATTCTCTGCCAACTTTCAATCACGTGTGTAAAAGAGTAGAGAGAGGAAGAGTGAGGATATCTAATATGACAGTTGTCTGGTGGTATATCCCAGGGCACACTGGCAAGGTCTCAGGACAGCTTAGATTAAAGGAGGTTCAAAACAATAAGATTCTAGGTCTTAATATCTCTCAGCATGCATTATAATCATCTGGGGAACTCTGAAAAAAATGCAGATGTCTTGGCCCCAACCCAGCAGCGGTCATCTTGGAGGATTTCTACCCTAAAAGCCTTAAGCTGGAGACTAGGGAATGCTTGGTCAATGATTAATGAAGCTTACGTTTAGTCTCCCAGTTGGTCATTTATATATGTATGCATGTTTACTTATCTGTCTATGCATATGACAGATATTTGGACTGAGTTGATCTGAGGTGGGCACAGTCATTGGTCTTTTATGGATGTTCCCTAGATGCCACTATTGTGCAGCTAGCGTTAAGAGCAGTGACACAGTAGAATGGAGTGAAGAAATAAGAGGTTTACATTGATGATGATAGTGTTGATCTGTTCCAGAGAGATAATAATCCAACTATGTCTCTCTCTGGAAGTGAGATTATCACGTTTAACCACATACGTAGATGGAACTACAGTTGAATGACTGCCTAGCTATCCCCTTTATCCTTTGCCAACTAGACAGAGCCTTTGATCAGCAATCATCTGTCACATTGAAGAATCAAAGGGCACAACACACTTGAGCTAATACCAAAGGCATTCCTTGTAGTCTCTTAATAAATGTACTCGGAGCCCTGAAAGATGTCTACTCCAAACATGAATTCCCAACACTGCCAAAATGATTTGAGTCTAGATGTGACAATCTGTGATATTTCAGGCAGAGCTGAAAGAATTTAACTTGGCTTATCAAAGTCTAAAGCCAAAATTGAGTGTCCGATGCGAAATGGACAAACGAAGTCAACGTATTTTGAATGACATTAAGCTAGATGTTATAGCCACCGCATAAGTCTGAGCAGGCCACAGTTTGGCTCTTCTGGAAGGTCTGGTCCTGAACTTCACTCTAAGTGTTCATCTTCACATAGCTACTGAAAATGGCTCAGTAAGGCATAGCCAGACCTCACCCCACTCAGTGAGAGCCATAGATTTTTCATTTGAACAACTGTATGAGTTAGACAAGGGGGTTCACTTGAGAATACTCCCATGCATTTTGTTTCCTCCCTCATGGGACAATTGTCCTTTGGTTTAAGATTGCTGCGAGGTGGGCAGAACAGAATTGAAACAATTCTTCCTCAGTTCTCTGTCAACCTTCTTCTTGTCACTTCAAACTTTGTTACCTCCTTGGAGGATGGAGGGGAGAGTTAGGAAGGAGGAACAGGGAAAAATGGAGAAGCGAAGGCAGGAGAGAAAGGTGGTAAGGAAGAAAGAGAAAACAAATTTATATGTGTACACGTGTGTGCATGTGTGTGCATGCGTGCACACATGCACAGACAGAAGGGAATTTTCCAACGACAATAACAAATTAGAATCAAAACCCTGCAGCTAGGAGGATCCTTACCTATCACAGAGTTTGACACCTCATTTTACAGATGAGGAAACTGAATGCAAGAAAGATGAAAGGATTTATTTATTTATTTATTTATTTATTTATTTATTTATTTTTGTTTTGTAAAAGGGCTTTAATGTGCTCCATAAATGCAAACTAATCAAACGTGAAGACACCTAAGTGCTCTTTTCACACTATCATTTGGTTTGCAATTTTGGTAATGGCACAAGGAAAAATCCCTCAACTAGGATAACCAGATGGAATACTCAAAGGCAGATAAAACAGAGAAGACATAATGAACTAAAGATAAATTTATTCCTTCATTGTTTATGTTGTAGTGAAGAAATGCCATGAGAGGTGTTGGCAGGAGTTTGACATGAAAGAGCTGAGCATAATCACTTCATTCCTCTTGGCATAGGGCAGAGCAGTAGGCTGCTCTTGGAAAAGAAAGAGATGTTTCAGGGAAGAGCAACAAAAATAATCAGGCACTGAAAAAAAGAATCTCTGATGAAAGGATTTATACAAAGTGACGCAGTAAGTCAGGAGCAGAGCTGGACGAGAGAACTCAGGTGTCCACCACCATCCACCTCCTTCAAAGTGTTCCCTGATAATTTCCATGCTGCCTCATCAAGTCTCCAAAAGAAATAGGCTTCTGCCTGCTCCTCACCACCCAACCGCACAAACCAGAGCCTGAAAGGACATTTCAATGAAGTTGAATAGATGGTTTTGTTAGGTGGGGAGCTGAGCATCTGTGGGTGGGCAAAGTAAAAGGAGGCATTCTTCTAAGGAATAGGCTCATTTTTTAACCGACCATAACACAAAACTTAAGTCTCCAAACTTCCTCAAGACAGAGTTGTAGAAAGGGAAGAGTTATAACACTTCTGATAATTAAATGGCAGTCCTAAGAGATCAATCATGGCTCTAGAGGCCACATTGCAAAACCACTAACAGTGACATTAATGTGTTTGGGTTACACTTAACAATCTGGATGTTTAATGCTCTTCAACCATTTGTTCCAGGTCACCAGAGGTTAACAAGCCAGTAGTGAATATAAACATAATTGTGTTTCATGAGGCTATGTTGTCAGCTTGAAAAACAGAACAAAGTCTCATCAATAATCTTTACTTTCTTCTAGGAGCAAGCCAGTACATGTTGAATAAATACATTGACACTCACTGTTGTGTTTGAAGATTCTTATGGTTGCACCTGAGAGTCGGGCCCCAAGCACAAGCGATGTGTGGTTTAACTCATCACTTAAAATGAGGCATCCCTGTGCAGAAAGCAAGCACACAAAACACAAGCCAATAAATAAAACCAAGGAAAAACAACTTGAGGGGACAGGAAGGCACTCTAAAACCCGCAACACCAATTTCTAAAACTCACTTTAATTTTAAAAGGCCAAGAGTTTAACCTGGTGTCTATATGGATGAAATCATGTATAGCAGTCAGCTGATGGAGATGGGAGTTGTTTTAAGATATTACGTGTTCACGGCAACATTTACATAGAGTTTGCAGTCGAGAAGTTCATCCAAGATCTTTGTTAAGCACCAGGGAGAGCCTAAAGTGTTGATCTCCGACAGGAAGATTGGTAGGTTTTTGGGTGGGTTATGAACTTGTAGGGGCACTTCCATGAGGGATTATTTGGAACAGTTTCAGTTATTCCTACTGAAAGGTAGGGGTCTTTTCTGCAGGACAATTTAAGCTCTTACTTCTGATTCTCGTTTTCCACTGTATTAACATCCCATGTAGTCAAAAACATCACTGTGTTACAGTCAAAAACTTTGAATATGGAAAAGTATAGATGGCAATTCAGTCTGTGGTATGTGGATTAAGTTAGTCTAACTTACTGCTTGCAAATTACTCTTTGTAAAATTATTTTTCTTTTTAACTTAAACATTTCTAAATTGCAAAACTGCTTAAGCATACCAAAAATACAGGCAAATTATGGTGAACCTTTGTCTTTTGTGGCCTTCCAGAATCTTTGAATTTTCCCTTATATTTCTATAGTTTCACACATAGCCATGTTTTGAGTTTTTCTGAGGCAAAAGCCACAAACATTCCCATATATTTGTACTCTAGATATATGCATTTTTGTAATTTTTCTGGTGGAACGTTTAGGAGTTATTTGTAAGCCTACTACTTCGCCTTTCCTGAGAACAGGACATTCTCCTACAAAAATCACAATTCAATGATCACATTCAAGAAGTTCAATGCTTTTACAACACTATCATTTGATAGACAGTTCAAATTTAAATTTCCCCAACTTTTCTAATGATGTCTTAAAGCTCTTAATAGACATCATCATTCCTTTGATGTTGTTCATTGCAAAATCTAGTCTAAGACCATACATTGCATGTAGTTGTGATGAGATACATTTTCAAAGGCATAAATTTGATTAATGTACTTGCTTACTTGCAATGAACCAGCCAACTTCCCATTTTTTTTTCTGAGGAACAATTTCAAACGCCGGCATGATTGTCACTATATGGCTCATTGCCATTTGGCACCTGCTTTCATCTCTGATCTTTTCTTTGACCACCATTCTATATTCTAGTTCCTCCAAACCTATGTATTTTACACATGCTGTTCCCTCTTCGTGTCCTAAATACAACTTATTTATCTGTTAAAATTCTGTTCTCCTCTCACCATTTTTGCACAGACACTGCAGACTTTCTCAAGAAGGGTTTTGGGCAGCTCTTTGTCCTTCCTCAAATATGGGCATGCCTTTTCTATGGTATTTGTCCTACTTTGTTCAGTATATTTTTCCCCCGTTAGACTCTAAAGTACATAAATTTAAAAGACACAGGTCTTGTTCATCTTTGTATGTCTTGTATCTTCCCTTATATGTGGACATAGTAGATTCTCAAGAATTGGTTTATTGAATGAAAAAATAAATGAGTAACATAGGAAAAATATTTTGTCCAAGTAAATGCTTAATAAATATTAGCTATGAGAAGTTGCAAATGGGAACTCAGGAGCCCAAAATTATGATTGCTTTGTTAAACTGTCTTTGAAGATGAATTCTGACGCATGTCTAGGGTTGCAATTATATAATCAGCAATATCATGAAAAGATTTGCTGGACTAAGCTGGCATACTTATTCAAAAATACCGATTTCCAGTCAGTTTCTCCTAAGAAAAGAACCTTCTCACACATATTTCTTCTTCTTTTTTTTTTTTTTTTTGAGATGGAGTCTCGCTCCGTCATCAGGCTGGAATGCAGTGGCCTGATCTTGGCTCATTGCAATCCCCACTTCCTGGTTTCAAGCAATTCTCCTGCCTCAGCCTCCTGAGTAGCTGGGACTATAGGTGCGCGCCACCACGCCCAGCTAATTTTTGTATTTTTAGTAGAGATGAGGTTTCACCATGTTGGCCAGGATGGTCTTGATTTCTTGACCTTGTGATTTACCCGCCTCGGCCTCCCAAAGTGCTGGGATTACAGGCATGAGCCACCGTGCCCATCTCAGCCATACTTCTAACAAGGACCTGCTCAGAGTTACAATTCTTAGGAGTAATACAGTAGAAGACAATTATGTTAACAAACTTCTCACCTTTCCAACTAATGCCGGGATATTCATTGAGTTAGTTGCGAATCCCATCCCAAAGACCATAGCTGCTTCCACATTCAGGAACTTAGCCACAAGGTCCTCCAGCTCCTTGTGCTTATCCAAGGTGCCTGCACATAAAATTACATGAGGAGTGAGCCTTCACTTTTCAACAAGGCCAAGATTGAAAACTCAAATTCCAGTACATACACATCACCAAAAGACCTATACAAGAGTGCTTGTAGCAGGAAGATTTGCCATTGCCCGAATCTAGAAATAGCCCAAATATTCAACTATTGTAGAATGGAAAAATACAATGTGGGGTATTTGTATAGTGGAATTCAATACAGCAATGAGAAAGAACAAACTACTGCTCCACACAACATTGTGGATAAATCTCACAAATCTGTTGTTGAGTGAAAGAAGTCAGATATCTAAAAAAGTACAGGCTGTATGATTTCGTTTACGTAAAGTTTGCAAACAGGCAAAACAAATCTACAGTGTTAGAAGTCAGGATAGTAGTTATTTTTATTAGGAGCATGAAGATGGTTTTTAGATTCTCTGAATGTTCTATTTCTGCATTTGTTACGTAGGTATGTTTGCTTTGTGAAGATCCATTGAGCTGTATACTTACGACTGGTGCACTTTTCACCATGCCGTAAGTGAAATAAAATTTACAAAAAACACCCACAATTCTCTCTTTTTACTGTACATCTCACAAGTAATTAATTAAATTATAACCCCATCAGAGTTTCCCCACACCTAAATGCAAAACAGATTCAATGACTTCCATAGATACCAATAATTCATTGAATCTTATAATTTATTGAACCTTTGGAATGTACTAGATACTGTGTTAAGCCCACTATTTAGGTTCTCTCATTTAATCTTAGAAGCCAATAATGCAGGTATTTTTACTTCACAGATAAGAAAACTGAGAGTTAAGAGGTTACCAATAAAAAGCAACAGAGATAATCTAGTTTAACTCCAAAGTGTAGTTTTTACCTCTTTACAATCGCTTATATGTTTGCCCTTTGATCTCTCCTTAAACATAATCCCCTCATGCTTTGCTACAGCAAATGTTGATGCTCGCTTCTCATATTTTCTGTTTGCTATCACTTGAACTCCTAGGTCTGCACAGTCCAATATGGTAGCCACCAGCTATATGTGGTTAGTGCAATGGAGAAACTGAATTTCAAGTTTTATTTAATTTTAAGTAACATAAAATATAAAGCTAACACATAGTAAAGTGCATTTCACCAACTGCAAATTTATTTTTTGATAGCATTATATTTCATATTAATTATTGGAAATTTAATGTCTTTATTAAGATGTGCTGTAAGTATAAAATATGTGTCATTTTCTGAAGCCATAGTATGATGACAAAAAGAATGTAAAATAGTACTTTTTTTTTTTGAGATAGAGTCTCGCTCTGTAGCCCAGGCTGGAGTGCAGTGGTGTGATCTCGACTCACTGCAGCCTCGGCCTCCCGGGTTCAATCAATTCTCCTGCCTCAGCCTCCCGAGTAGCTGGGACTACAGGCGCATACCCCCACGCCCGGCTAATTTTTTGTATTTTAGTAGAGATGGGGTTTCACCGTGTTGCCCAGGCTGGTCTCGAACTCCTGAGCTCAGGCAATCCACCCGCCTTGGCCTCCCAAAGTGCTGGGATTACAGGTGTGAGCCACTGCACCCAGCCCGATACTTTTTATAGTGATTACACATTTAAATGGCAATAGTCTGACATACTGTGTTAAAGAAAATGTATAATTAAATTGATTTTACCGTTTTTTTCCTTATTAAATGTGGTTATTAGAAAATTTAATATTACACATGCGTCTTGCCTCCTGCTTTTATTGAGCAATGCTTTCTAAATGATATAACTGACAGAACGGAAAAATGTACAAGTGGAGAGATGCTGTAATTTACACACACAGAACATAGGAGCTGTTGCTCGGATTTAAGTTACAGGAGTATTGTTATCATGTTTAGGGCCGCTATAAACATACTTCCTTTTGCCCAAGGATCAACATAGTTTAATATACAGAGTATGATATAAGAATGTATTTAAATTGGTAAATTAGTTTTCTTACTGTGCTAAAATAGTAAGAAGGTACTGAATGGTCAGTTCTAAGATTTCTATTGCATTTCATGTTGAAGAGGACACTTCTTGATCTTTGCCGTTCATGAGAGGTCACACTGAGGGGCCTTGCTTTTCAAACCAGAATTTATTTATCCCCAAAGTTATTAGAAGACATAGTAAAACAAGCGTTCTAGGCCAGGTGCGGTGGCCCACGCTTGTAATCCCAGCATTTTGGGAGGCCGAGGCAGGTGGATTACCTAAGGTCAGGAGTTCAAGACCAACCTGGCCAACATGGTGAAACCCCATTTCTGTTAAAAACACCAAAAAAAAAAAAAATTAGCCTGGCATGGTAGCGCATGCCTGTAATCCCAGCTACTCAGGAGGCTGAGGCAGGAGAATCACTTGAACCTGGGAGGCGGAGGTTACAGTGAGCCGAGATTGCCCCACTGCACTCCACCCTGAGTGACAGAGTGAGACTCCATCTCAAAAAAACAAAACAAAACAAAAGACAAAAAACAAACAACAACAACAAAAACAAGTGTTTTTTTCTGGTTTTTTTATTTTTATTTTTATTATACTTTAAGTTCCAGGGTACATGTGCACAATGTGCAGGTTTGTTACATATGTATACATGTGCCATGTTGGTGTGCTGCACCCATCAACTCGTCAGGACCCATCAACTCGTCATTTACAGTAGTTATAACGCCCAATGCCATCCCTCCTCCCTTCCCCCCTCCCCATAATAGGCCCTGGTGTGTGATGTTCCCCTTCCTGTGTCCAAGTGATCTCATTGTTCAATTCCCACCTATGAGTGAGAATATGCGGTGTTTGATTTTCTGTTCTTGCGATAGTTTGCTGAGAATGATGGTTTCCAGCTGCATCCGTGTCCCTACAAAGGACACAAACTCATAATCCAGTCTGTCATTGATGGACATTTGGGTTGATTCCAAGTCTTTGCTATTGTGAATAGTGCTGCAATAAACATATGTGTGCATGTGTCTTTATAGCAGCATGATTTATAATCCTTTGGGTATATACCCAGTAATGAGATGGCTGGGTCATATGGTATTTCTAGTTCTAGATCCTTGAGGAATCGCCATACTGTTTTCCACAATGATTGAACTAGTTTACAGTCCCACCAACAGTGTAAGAGTGTTCCTATTTCTCCGCATCCTCTCCAGCACCTGTTGTTTCCTGACTTTTTAATGATTGCCATTCTAACTGGTGTGAGATGGTATCTCATTGTGGTTTTGATTTGCATTTCTCTGATGGCCAGTGATGATGAGCATTTTTTCATGTGTCTGTTGGCTGTATGACTGTCTTCTTTTGAGAAATGTCTGTTCATATCCTTGCCCACTTTTTGATGGGGTTGTTTGTTTTTTTATTCTTGTAAATTTGTTTGAGTTCTTTGTAGGTTCTGGATATTAGCCCTTTGTCAGGTGAGTAGATTGCAAAAATTTTCTCCCATTCTGTAGGTTGCCTGTTCACTCTGATGGTAGTTTCTTTTGCTGTGCAGAAGCTCTTTAGTTTAATTAGATCCCATTTGTCAATTTTGGCTTTTGTTGCTGTTGCTTTTGGTGTTTTAGACATGAAGTCCTTGCCCATGCCTATGTCCTGAATAGTATTACCTAGGTTTTCTTCTAGGGTTTTTATGGCATTAGGTCTAACATTTATGTCTCTAATCCATCTTGAATTAATTTTCATATAAGGAGTAAGGAAAGGATCCAGTTTCAGCTTTCTACTTATGGCTAGCCAATTTTCCCAGCACCGTTTATTAAATAGGGAATCCTTCCCCCATTTTTTGAAAAACAAGTGTTCTAATAGTCAATCTGACTCAAGATTTGGTGCAATGTTTAAAGTTTACATTGTAATTTCAAACTTTGTATCATCAAAGATATATTATGGAACAGGAAGAGAAACTGGTATTTAGGAAAAGAACATGGGCATATCATTTGCCAGATTTGCGTTTACCTAAAAGAGGCGTCTTCCCAATGGGAATGGTTCCAAGAATAGACAGTGAAAAGGCCAACAGCCTGGGTATGAGGAGACTAGGTTCTGGCTTAACTCTTCCATTACCAGCTGTGTGGCCTCTGGCTACCTTTCCTGGAAGTTTGCAGAGGGATTCAGGTAAATGCCATTTTAGGCTTTCCCAATGTTGCATGTGCTATTTCCTCCACATAAAATCATCTTTTTGCCCTTCATCTTTTCTCTGAAGCCTTTCTCAGCTTCCCCACGGAAAACTCGTCATTCTTCTCTTCTGAGATTGAATAACATTTATCATATGATGATTGCAGCACTTATTAAGTTGAACTGAGAATGTTCCCAGGGCAATCTTCTCTAGTACAGAAAGAGTCCTTGGGGTGCAGATACTGTGTGTGAGACCCCATGACTTCCATAGATACGGACAATAGTATCATAGATGGCCATAGTATCAGACATTCTATGACAGTGTCATAGATGTTTGTCTTAGCAACCACAGTGTCTAGCACAGTGCTGACACATAGTAGGTACTTGTAGAGTTATATGGGGTCTTTTGATGAATAACGAAGACAGGGCTGAACTTAGAGTAGGAGATAGCACAGGGAAGAAGATCAAAAGGCCATGCAATGCCAAGGCAATAAGGTGACTAGGCAGTGAATACCAGCCTGAAGACATTCATTCCTAGAGAAGTCTTCTAGTAAAGACACAAGGTGCCCAAACTTTGCCAACTTGATATATTTCCCCTTTCCTGCCCAGAGGGTCAGGTGACAACTGGTCCAGTCACCCAGAAGTGCATGAGTAGAAGTTCATGATGCAACTCCATTTGTCTTTCTCCACCCTTAATCTTTCCAAAACCTGCTATCTCAGGAGCTTAATCTACAACAGTTGCATCACTAAAAGTTGTTAGGTTAATGTGGAATGTGTTGTCACACAAACAGCCAGCCAACTCATGAGAAGTGGGTGTGTCTAAGACCATTCTGAGAAATTGCTCACTACAAGATCCTTTCCATTAGACCTGGCTTAAAGACAGGGAGGAGGCTAGGCACAGTGGTTCATGCCTATAATCCCA